CACTGCTTCTTCCTCCGCCGCTCCTCCCAGTGATTGCGTCGGCCGGTGGGCGGACTGATCCCGCCCACCGGCCGGGGAGACCTAATGCTTTCCTATGGGGAGCTCTAATGCACATGCGCATTAGAGCTCCCCATAGGAAAGCATTGAAAATGCTTTTCAATGCTTTCCTATGGGGAATTGAGCGACCCTGGAGGTCCTCACACAGCGTGAGGATGTCCAGCGACGCTCTAGCACAGGTTTTCTGTGCTATGAAGGAGGAAGTGCCCTCTAGTGGCTATCTAGTAGACAGCCACTAGAGGTGAAGTTAACCCTGCAAGGTAACTATTGCACTTTATAAAAAACTGCAATAATTACACTTGCAGGGTTAAGAGTAGTGGGAGTTGGCACCCAGACCACTCCAATGGGCAGAAGTGGTCTGGGTACCTGGAGTGTCCCTTTAATGCTGGTCATGATAGAAAGGTGTCAGAACACACGGTGTGTTGCAGTTTGCGGTGTATGGGGCCCAGTCAGGTCAGAATCCCCATGATGATTCCTGTCCACCGCTGAATGCACCTTCAATGGGGACATGACCATGAGAAGATGGCAGCCGGATGTTTTATGGGAAGCAGGCATGCTGGCAGAGGCAGTGTTCTGCTAGGAAACCTTGAGTCATGGCATTCATGTGAATGTTACTTTGACACATACCACCTACCTAGAGATTGTTCCAGACCACATACAACCCTTCATGTTACCTGATGCTAGTGGGCCACTTTGGGTTTGAAGAACATGGCAAAGTTCCCTTGATCTCTATATTCCCCAGATTTAAATCTGATTGAGCATCTATGGGGTGTGCTGATACAACAAATCCGATCTTCGGAAGCCCCACCTCGCAACCTGCAGAACATAAAGGATCTGCTGCTAATGTCTTGGTGTCAGATAAACAGGACACATTCAGAGGTTTTGTAGAGACCATGCCTCAACGCATCAGAGCTGTTTTGGCAGCACGAGGAAACCTACATGATATTAGGCAAGTGGTTTTAATGTTGTGGCAAGTTAAGATTATCATTCAGCTGCGATGCAGAGTGTGTAATTATAGCCGTGCATATCTTTTGTGGAGGAGGGCTGCCAGTTATGTAGATATTTTTAGTTTTATTTATTTATTTCATCTATTCCCCTATTCCACAGGGCAAATATATGCGATTGTGCCAGCATTGCTTAACTTTTCTCTATCTGTGTAAGCAGGAAAATATATTATTTTGATGGAAGTGTTACAGAAGGTACAGAAAACCCCCATACCGATTCATAATTGGGAAAAATGGAAGACAGGGAGCACTGCACGCTGAGGGCGACATCCCCCTTTTTGTGAACGGATCAGGGAGATAAAGCTTTACATTTGAAGTCGATTAAAAATAAATTAATTGTGGGCATTTTATTGTTTATTTAGCTACAGAGAAATGGCAATACAGTGTTCTTCCCATAAAAATGCATTGAAGGGGAACAAAACGCGAGCGTTCATCCAGTGCTGACCATCACAACTTCCTGAGCATGCGCAGTTTTATATTCTCTAAATCAAAGCATTATTTAATGCCCTCCTGCAACATATTCATGCTATTTACTGTACAGCAGAACATTTCATTACAGACCAACAGCATGCACACATTCTTTGTTCCCAAGAAAACATGGTGCAAGGGGCAACCCTAGGGCTGCAGGAAAATCCTTGTTGCCTTGCGGGATGTATTGATTAATATATATCCATATTTAAAGGGGCAGTATCTTCTCTCAAGCTCAATTACTACAAAAGTCCAGTTCCACAAACATTTGTACTCCTGAAAACACAAGGAATAACATGTCTAGTTTTAAACACATATTAACTCATGGGACCTTACTACTAATTGTTACTAAGGGTGATTAAAGCCTATTCACAAAACAGCAATTTAAAGTCAGAAGTGGCCAAATATAGCCAGGTTTTCACTAAAGCTGGGTGGAAGGATTTTTCTAGGATCAGCTATTTCCAGACTGAATGTTGCTATTGTGTTTTCAATTCACAACAATTCACTGTTTAGTAAATAATCCCCGTTTGTTTATTTTCTCCAGTATAATAAATCCCATCCCTAATTCCTCAGTACACAGTGTGTGTGGGACTGGTAACAGCATTATTACATCTCACTGTGTCAATCCAGCCCCCCACCCATTTTCCAAACCAGTTATTATCAATCAATAGAAAGCAAATCAAATGTATATTTATCAAGTAAAAGTATCAGATGGAAATGGCTCTTTTCTTAACAACAGGAATAAAATGGTCATCTGTCTGGGATAAGAGAGATATTACCTGTCAGAACTCATCTACAGCGAAATCCTCACAACCAACTTTCCAGTTAACAGATAACAAAAACTGGCAGATGGGTAGAAATAGCACAAATGAGCCTTTAATTGACAATCAATTGTGATTAGTTGCAATAAGACATCTTTATATCGCTTAACCTCTAAAGTAGGCAGATTTTTTTATTTATTTTTTACATACCCCCCAGTATAGCTACATTGTAACTGGGGGGGTTAATACAGTGTATCGAATCAAATGGAATTTTTATATTGACATAAAGTACTTTTTTAAAGAAATTTGTATTTAAACAGCCCTGGCTTTATTTAAATAGACCAGGGCTAAGTTAAGGTATAAATAAAAATGGAACAGAAAAATTAATAGAATTTAGGTGCGTTTAACATGATGAAATCTGGTATATATGTTAAATGCATTCTTTAGAATAGATAGAGGTGCTCTGATTTCTCATTTATGGTTAAAAAAAATGATTATGAATTTGTAAATGCCTTGGGAAGATGTAAAAATAAAAACGGTTAATGCAGAGAATTGAAGAATTAATTTTGGGAATGTAATTCAACATTACCTGAATTGTCTTCATTAAGGAAAATAAATGTTTTAACACAGTATCTATAGAGAGATAAATAAATTATAAATACAATTTAAAAAAAAATATTTAGTTAAACTAAAAACTTATTTAAGTTTGGACTGATATGCCATTCGTAAAGACAGAATGAAAACGATAAAGAATGATATATAAAACACATGCTTCTATGTTTTTATAGACTAATCATATAAACTAAAACAGCATTTGATATGTTTGTGCAGCATTGTGCAATCATAACAAAATCTAATTACCCATACATGATCAGGAATGAAAGACATCACCCCTCTCCATGTAAGTGATTTATAATATCAAGATAAAGCAATCTTAAAGCGATAGAGGTTTTGTTGGGCTCTCTAATGAATAATTGCAGCTGTATATATATATGCAATGGATGGGAGCAGCTATTCCCAGACTGTCCACAAAGAAGAGCATCACTAATTCCCCTGAGTGCACCCTGTGATGGGCTAATCATGTCCCACCCCTGCCAAAATTACAGCTGATTGTTTTAACCATTATTTTTCACAACTTTTAATTTCTGCTCTCCAAAGGATCATTGCCTGAGATAATTACAAAATCTGTCCTTGTATGTCAGCATCTCACATGGGGAGAGAGGGGTGGGGGGAAAAGAGAGAGAGAGAAGGGGGGGAGAATGGGCAGGGGGGGGGAATGGGCAGGGGGAGGGGGGAAGAGAGAATGAGAAAAGGGGAGAGAAAGAGAGACTATGGGGTGACTAGGGAGAGAATATAAGAAAAAGAAAATACAATGTTTAAAACAAATGTATGTTATTTATTTAAGAACACTAGAATTAAAAATAGACATGGATAATTAAATGCAAATAAATAAAACTTAATTTTGATAATTTGTTACAGACTTTTAAAACGAAGATAGAGATAGACAGACAGACAGACAGACAGATAGATAGACAGACAGATAGATAGATAGATAGATAGATAGACAGACAGACAGACAGACAGATAAATAGATAAATAGATAGAGAGAGAGAGAGATAGATAGATAGATAGATAGATAGATAGATAGATAGAGAGAGAGACAAACAGACAGATAAATAGAGAGAGAGAGAGAGAGAGATAGATAGATAGATAGATAGATAGATAGATAGATAGATAGATAGATAGATAGATAGATAGATAGATAGATAGATAGATAGATAAATAGATAGATTTAGAACCCATGGTATGAATGTAGAACTCTGCAGTAAAATGTAGCACATGCTGACACACCTGCTATTTTATTACATTATGAAAACTATTTTTCTTACATGGATAAAAAAAAATGTGCATTTCGCTTAAACTGATTACCCCTTCAGTAATAAACTGTATTTCATTTTACATCATAATTATCTGAGCGAGCCTGGTGGGTCTCCAGAGTGATAAGTCACACAGTCACTGTCATATTTTAAAGTGTCACACAAAATGTGTATTTTGCAGCCCACCCTGTAATCATCTATTAAATTGGCTCTTAGCGAAGCTTGCCATATCTGATCTGATGGCCTCATTCTGTATATAGACGTTCTTCATATTGATCCTGCAATTATTTAAAAGAAAATCCCCATCGCCTCCTACTTTTTCCAAATAAGGCTATTTAGATGCTTTCCAGATGAGTGGAGGAGCAGAGCTGAGAGAGCTAAGCCCAGCATTGTGCATCAGTCAGCATTATTGCTCTCTGGCTCACTTTACTAGTCTCTACACACTTAGCCAGCACACAATTCGCAGGACATCCTACTCATTTGCAGCCAATTACCACTCACTGCTAAGTATGGACGCTTAAACTCCAGTGGTTGAGGACACACTTGAAGGGATGTTTGTAAGTTGGAGGAGGGGAGGACAGAAGATGCAAGTTTGAGGAGCCCTCACACACAGCAGACCTTGCCATTTACTGAAGGATCACTAGTGGATGGACACCAGACCTGAGAGGACCTCTTCCACTTTGAAGGACACACAGCTCCAAATCCCTGGTGCTATGACCCGCTTGTGGTTTAGAGGGATCTAGTCTGGTATACGGACCTTTCAAGTTGGACTTTAAAAGAGAGCTCTAGAGAACAGACAGAAGTGAAAGAGAAAGCTTCATAGTGACTGAGCAATGAATGTGAGCAGAGAGAAGGTCCAGGTGGATATCTCTAGTGGACCAGCCTCAGTTGTGGTGGAAGCTGGACCCTGCAGTATTCACGGTGAGATGATGGAGAGCAATGGGGAACAGAGACTCTCAGCCAACGAGATACCTAACTATGGGTGTCAGAGGGACAACAGGCAAGGAGGGGACAACCAGAATGGCAATACCCCTGGGCAAGAAGGGATAGTGGGAGCACTTCCAGCAGTTCACAGAACCACTTCTTTCTCTGTTTTGGACATACTGGACCCTAACAAATTTAACAGCAAACAGAGACTGTGCTCTGTGGCGTACAAGCCTAATACAGACTATATTATCAGAGGGGAGGACAAGCAGGACCAGGGGACAGAGCTGGCACACCAGAAACCCTGTCTAGAAGACTTTGACAACTGCAAAAAGTCTGCAGATGTTTTAAGTAAGTTTCTAACATGTACAGCGTACTCTGTGAGTGTATGTATCTATACAAATACGAATATCTACATGTATATATTCACTCATATGTGTTTGTTTGTGTGGGTGTGTATACGTGTGTTTGTTTTTGTATATGTATGCATATATAATGTGTGTGTGTTTATAAATAAATTATATGCATGTTATGTGAATATATATATACACCATGGATATCATTTATTTATATTTTTATTTTTTTATATTGGTGGTGTTTAATTTAATTGTTTTATAAGTTGTACCCTTTATTATGTTAGTCATAGTATAAATTGTAACTTGTATTACAAACTATTGGAAACAGTATCTGTATCCAGTATTCAATGAGTCACATTTGCAGTAACTGTCCCCAGAACAAAACATGCTGCACAAGTCATGCTGCTTGTCTAAGGAACCAGAGGGGATGAGAGGGTCACATTGAAATATTTCAGGATTATACAGAATAAAACAAACACGGTGGGTTTAGTGTGATTCTAAAACTTGCATTCATTCCCAGGGATACCAATATCCTCATCAATACTTACTAATGTGTTTATAGTAAAATGCAGGTAAAACAGGTTATCAGAAATAGGTATTAGTAACAGCTGGAATGAATGATGGCTGTAGTTATTACAATGTGTCAATGAATGTTTAGTTAATTTTATAACAGGATTCATAACAATAAATGCATAACTTTGATACATCACCCATAGGTGCTTGTCTGACAGCTTTAGAAGAAACTGAGGCAGATAGTTCTAACAACAGACTGAGTTTATCCATACGTTTATAGTCTGCAAATAATCTGCCTAAAATGAACAAGTAAATTACTCTATAAACTAATACTGTGCATGTATAGTATTTATCATATTTAATTGTTTATTTATATGTATATACTTATTTTCATTTGTACAATTTAGCCATAGCTAGGGTGTAATTTAATAAAATATCAGGCTGTGTCAGATACTATATTTCTCTGTTTATACATAATACAAAATATTATTTATTTTGGGGGAGGGGATGGGGGGAAGGGTTCTAATTGTGTGCCAAATATTGACTGGGTAGTAAAGGGTTAATATAGTCCAAAATCTATCTAGAAAACATCTCCTGTTTGGTGACTGTTGCTTAGGGCGACAGATTCAATTTTCTCTTCTCCCCTTGGCTTTTTTAGGACAAACCAGACTAATTGTGACAAAACGCCGGTTATCTCTGGAAAAACAATTAAATTCCTTCGATTACATTTATGGCAAAATGTGCTTAGCAGAATAAAGAGGGCAGATAATGGGGAGAATCCCCCTAGAGTAGCGTGTAGCAGTGGGCTGGTCGATATCCTATTATCGAATTGTGAATATCTCTTACAAGCAGCTTGCAAACTCTCTCCTAACATCTAAATTATAGGGTCACAATTCGGATAATTACTCGATTAAAACCTATTAAACTTATTAGGGTAACTATTGATCCCGAATTGCATTCGACCCAGGGAAAAGATTGCTTTTTTGGGTTGCAAAATATCCCAACTTTTCCAAAATAATTTACATATATCTGAAATGAGTTTACTTAAAAAGGCATTTCTATATAAAAATAAATACAAATAAAATAAAAATATTTTTTGATGATACTGGTCTATATATATATCCATATAGGCAAACAATATACGATAGTGCAATATATATTTATATATACACACACTTCTACAAATATTTATACATATTAATACAGAAAATTGCTTATTTTAAGGGCACACACATATCCATCTATACATACAGGTACAATGTGTAACTAATTTAAATACAGATTATTTTATTTTTATTTTATTTTCATACACAAGACAACTTTTCTGTCTATATAAAGAATTATTGAATTAAAACATAGCTTCAAAATCGTATACTTTATGGAAACTCAGTTGTACAGATAGAACATTTCAAGTATTGATAATATTATCATGTTATATTAAGGGACAAATTATATTGGGACAAATTATCGATAAGCAATTTTCATGGGAATAACAGAACTAAACGTTATTTTATAAAATAAAGCCATATTATATATGTGTATATATGTAGATACATTAGAATTGGTAAAACCTGCAATGGGAATGTATGAGTCAATTGGAAAGTTAAGTTTATTGACTTTATGAGAAATAAGTTAAAATCAAAGATATGATCTTTAGAACATTTGAGTGTGAAACCTAACTGATATTTATACCAATATTTTTTTTATATTTTATTATTGACTAAATAATTTCCTTACAAACTACCAGTCACTTGTACATGACTCAAACCATAAATATTTTCACAGTAACATAAAACATATAAGACACAATAGGTGTATTCACAAAACGAGAAATTATAGTGAATTGAAAATCCAAATGTAATTTTTAGGCTGAAATAGTCAAACTATAACTTTAGTTTAGTTTGAGGTGTTTCCTAAACTTCAATTCCTTATAATAGTCTTTTTTTTTTTCAATTTTCTTTTAATTTTTTAAATTTTTTTTTTTTAGAAACTTCATCTAATGTACGATTAAATCGCCGTTTATTATCTAAAGGCCTCAACAACTAATAAAACAATATTGGATTTCACATTTAGTTTATTATACTTTATTTATATGCAACAATACATGAATTGATAGACTGACCATTTAAAATGTCAGGAACCTATGTTAAAATTTGAAGGAAATTGCATGTTAAACAAAAACAGATTCAATAATATTTGAAACTTGCTTTTTAATAGTATTTGTATTTAAATATAACATTACTACATTTACAATACAATCGTTTACATTTACAGCAATGTTTAAAAGATCTCTACATAATATATTTGTAAGAGTGTAATATAATAATGAATGGATTTGAGTAAGAAATAAAAATGTAATGCTATTAAGATGAACTAATTCACTATTAAAATCCAATTAGCCTTTTATATATATATAGACAGAATAGAGTAAAATATAACATTGATTTTCTAATGCAAATATGCTAAATTGTATAAATAATCTGATCATCTGAAAACTGAGAATCCCATGAATTGGTTTTAGGATAAGTCCATTTCATATTAAAAATAAACGTTTAATTTATAAAATATTTATATTGCTAAAAACAAAATATTGTATAAGCAAAAAGTGTCATTTAATCAGGTAAAAAATAATACTATTTGTTTATGGTGATAGATAGATTGATTGATTGATAGATAGATAGATAGATAGATAGATAGATAGATAGATAGATAGATTCCTAGTGGCTATGCATGATGGGGGTTGCATTTAGCTGGTGGAGCCCTGTAAGCTGTATAGATAGATTTAACTGCCCCAGGTTTGCAGTCAGACACCTGAACACGTGTTTTCTGTAGAAGAGCAGTCTTGCATTTCTTACATTGATTGTCTGTTGTTATGGTTTACAGTTCCCGAAGAATACAATGTATTTGCCTGTATAGGAATTTATAGGTGAGATTTATACAGACAGGGATTTGACCTAACTTAGGGATCACAGTAAAGCATTGATCTTTAAACACAGTCCAGATAAGCAGCATGTTTGTTTAGAGAGTTAAAGGGCACAGATACCCCCTCCACTCAATCAGAGCAATCTAACTAATGCTATATTACACACTTACTGTATTCCATCAATTCTTCAAGGGGCAATACCTGGTGATATTATTAGCCCTACCTGCCACAAACTATTTCTACATCAAAGGGATGGTAAGACAGGCCCCCAACTATTCTAAAACTATCACTCCCATGAGGTTTAAGGGTGGCAAAGCATCATGGTCTTAGTAGTTTTACAAAAGATGGGGAGGTAACCTTTGGCCACCTCAGTCCTATACCCTTACTGGAAGCAGAGTAATATTAAAGCACATGTAGGACAGGTACACACAGACATAGAGATACAGAGAATTAGAGTTCTTTTCCTTTTAACTCAATTTTGACCTATTTATTTATTTATTCATTTATTTTAATAGGCTGTGAATTCCCCCCAGCTCACTGCTCAGGGTATAGATGTTATTTTAAACCTACTTTTGTTTTGCAGTGTGGATACATAATAGTATATACATGACATTATTATAGCTCTGTAGGAAGGCAGGGATTGTCTTATAAAAGGTAAGCTGCTATTCATGGTTAATAAAGGGATTAGTTAGCTTTCCCTGCGGTATTGAACTTTTTCCATGCATTTATAGATGTGTGAGTGTTTTTAAGGAATTATCATCAGTATTTAAAAAATAAACAAAATATTGGGGAAAAAATTATTAATAAGCTATATATAAGATTAAGGGTTTTATCTTGGCAAATTTCAATTTGAGTTTATTTGTTAAACTATTTCGTACCTAAAGAGAGGTGAATGCATTAATTAATGAATTAATGAATTAATGAATTAATCAGCGAGGCACAGCAGATTACATGCTATAGTTATATCTAACCGATCACAGAGCAAGAATGGAACTTAATAGAAAAAAAATAAATTTAAAAAGTACGACAAATAACCTCAACAACTATTAGAGATTGAAATAAAACATTTTTATTGAACCATAAAGAAACAAATTCAGTTAAAAAAAAGCCCCTTAAATAGGTTCTTACGATTTCTTATTTTCTTGTTTTTATTTAGTTTTCGGTAATTTCCAATTGTTCAATTCTTCCTGACATGAAACAGGTGTAACTAGAGGGAGCGTGTTAACACCAGACTGGTCTTAGAACAAGTCCACAGATTTAGAGAATATCCCAATCAGGGTTATTTACTAACAATTCATTGTCGGATATTCACGCTGGATCTGACAATGGTATGGAAAACATAGCTGGGAAATCTCGATTCACTGTTAAAACTAAGTTGTGCGATGCCCGTGGTGAAGTCTCGATAATTCAGCGTTTGGTGATTCATTCTGTCTGTATTCTGCAATCATGAAACATTCTCAGAGTAACTTTCTGTTACATAGTATTCGGCAAATGTTCGGTTAATGCAGGTAGGAGAGAGGGGGAGTGCAGGGGTTTAGTTCAAATATATAGATATAAGAATATGTGCATGTGTGTATGTAATATGTCAGTGTATAATGTCAGTGTGTGCATATGTGTATGTAATGTGACAGTGTGTATAATGTCAGTCTGTGCATGTGTGTGTGTGTGTGTGTGTGTGTGTGTGTGTGTGTGTATGTAATGTGTCAGAGTGTGTAATGTCTGTCAGTGCATGTGTATGTATGTATGTATGTAATGTGTCAGTGTGTATAATGTCAGTGTGTATGTGTGTATATGTAATGTGTCAGTGTGTATAATGTCAGTGTGTATGTGTGTATATGTAATGTGTCAGTGTTTATAATGTCAGTGTGTGTATGTAATGTGTCAGTGTGTATAATGTCAGTGTGTGTATGTAATGTGTCAGTGTGTATAATGTCAGTGTGTATGTGTGTATAATGTCAGTGTGTATGTGTGTATATGTAATGTGTCAGTGTGTATAATGTCAGTGTGTCTATGTAATGTGTCAGTGTGTATAATGTCAGTGTGTGTATGTAATGTGTCAGTGTATAATGTCAGTGTGTGTATGTAATGTGTCAGTGTGTATAATGTCAGTGTGTATGTGTGTGTATGTAATGTGTCAGTGTGTATAATGTCAGTGTGTGTATGTAATGTGTCAGTGTGTATAATGTCAGTGTGTGTATGTAATGTGTCAGTGTATAATGTCAGTGTGTCTATGTAATGTGTCAGTGTGTATAATGTCAGTGTGTATAATGTCAGTGTGTATAATGTCAGTGTGTATGTGTGTGTATGTAATGTGTCAGTGCGTAACTGTATAATGTCAGTATGTGCATGTTGGTCGACATTATATGGGTATTGCGTGTTTGTGTTATGTGTGTTATTTGTGTATATGTGTGTTTGCTTTGTCCTGTGCTTAATATTATATAGAACATATATTTATATTTTATAGAGATAGATTAAAGTAGATCTTGTGCTAATCAGGGAAAGCTCTCTATATATTCAAAGATATAATTATGCTGGTTTCCATGGTAATTGCTCCTTATTTAACACTTTGTTCAAGAATAGCACCGTTTTTTTGCCTTGATAAAGATATTTCTGTAAATAGAGACTATGGTATGTGCATATTCATTGTAGTACATGGGAGCTAACCATTATGTGTGTGCATGCATTGCAGTAAATGTGGACTTTTCCAAGATATCTGAGAGCTTGTTATAATGTATGTAATAGACATTGTGATCTATAGGAGATATACCATGATGTACACACAGACATTACAATCTATAGGAGATATACCATGATGTACACACAGACATTACAATCTATAGGAGATATACCATGATGTACACACAGACATTACAATATATAGGAGATATACCATGATGTACACACAGACATTACAATATATAGGAGATATACCATGATGTACACACAGACATTACAATATATAGGAGATATACCATGATGTACACACAGACATTGCAATCTATAGGAGATATACCATGATGTACACAGACATTGTGATCTATAGGAGATATACCATGATGGACACACAGACATTACAATCTATAGGAGATATATCATGATGTACACACAGACATTACAATCTATAGGAGATATACCATGATGTACACACAGACATTACAATCTATAGGAGATATACCATGATGTACACACTGACATTACAATCTATAGGAGATATACCATGATGTACACAGACATTACAATCTATAGGAGATATACCATGATGTACACAGACATTACAATCTATAGGAGATATACCATGATGGACACACAGGCCTTGCAATATATGGGAGATATACTATTATGTACACACAGGCATTACAATCTATAGGAGATATACCATGATGTACACAGACATTACAATCTATAGGAGATATACCATGATGTACACACAGACATTGCAATCTATAGGAGATATACCATGATGTACACAGACATTGCAATCTATAGGAGATATACCATGATGGACACACAGGCCTTGCAATATATGGGAGATATACTATTATGTACACACAGGCATTACAATCTATAGGAGATATACCATGATGTACACACAGACATTACAATCTATAGGAGATATACCATGATGTACACACAGACATTACAATCTATAGGAGATATACCATGATGTACACAGACATTACAATCTATAGGAGATATACCATGATGTACACACAGACATTGCAATCTATAGGAGATATACCATGATGTACACAGACATTACAATCTATAGGAGATATACCATGATGGACACACAGGCCTTGCAATATATGGGAGATATACTATTATGTACACACAGGCATTACAATCTATAGGAGATATACCATGATGTACACAGACATTACAATCTATAGGAGATATACCATGATGTACACACAGACATTGCAATCTATAGGAGATATACCATGATGTACACAGACATTGCAATCTATAGGAGATATACCATGATGGACACACAGGCCTTGCAATATATGGGAGATATACTATTATGTACACACAGGCATTACAATCTATAGGAGATATACCATGATGTACACACAGACATTACAATCTATAGGAGATATACCATGATGTACACACAGACATTACAATCTATAGGAGATATACCATGATGTACACACAGACATTGCAATCTATAGGAGATATACCATGATGTACACATACATTGTGATCTATAGGAGATATACCATGATGGACACACAGACCTTGCAATATATTGGAGATATACTATTATGTACACACAGGCATTACAATCTATAGGAGATATACCGTGATGTACACACAGGCATTACAATCTATAGGAGATATACCATGATGTACACACAGACATTACAATCTATAGGAGATATACCGTGATGTACACACAGACATTACAATCTATAGGAGATATACCATGATGTACACACAGACATTACAATCTATAGGAGATATACCGTGATGTACACACAGACATTACAATCTATAGGAGATATACCATGATGTACACACAGACATTGCAATCTATAGGAGATATACCATGATGTACACATACATTACAATCTATAGGAGATATACCATGATGGACACACAGACAGTGCAGTATATGAGATAACAGGTCCATAGGTTTGGTGTGGTCACTAAACATCCTTTTTGTGTTTGCAGAGAATGGGGATCTCTATCACCAGGCCGGAGAGGAGTGTCAGAACCAAGACTTCAGTCCTGGACCTGGAAGTGATCTGGAGGAAGAAGAAGATGAAGAAGAGGAAGAGTTCTGTAGTGAAGAAAGTAGCAACTCCACATCTTCTGGGACTGGAGACAGGGGGACTGATGGAGGAGCTGCTCAGGGAGGGGAGTCTATCAGCCCTGCTGGGTCTAACCAACAGCAGGCCAATGGGAAGAACCAAAGTCAACAGAACCAGCAGCAGAATCAGCATGGTAAGCCCAAGAGGAAGAGGACTGGTTCTGACTCTAAATCTGGAAAGCCCAGGAGAGCACGCACTGCTTTCACTTATGAACAGTTGGTGGCGCTAGAGAACAAGTTCAAGTCCACCAGGTACTTATCTGTATGTGAGAGACTCAACCTAGCTCTGTCCCTGAGCCTAACTGAGACCCAGGTCAAAATCTGGTTCCAGAACAGACGCACCAAGTGGAAGAAGCAGAACCCTGGGGCAGACACAAGCGCCCCCACAGGGGGGTCCAACCATGGAGGAGGATCAGGGGGACCAGGTATGGGAGGAGGGCTCAGCCCTCTTAGTCACTCACCCCCCATGGGTAACCCACTGGCCATGCATGGTCACCCAGGATACCCCGGCCATGGACCAAGTGGTCTTATGTGTACCACCCAACTGCCCTTCCTGTCAGGTCCAGCTGTCCTATCACCCTTCGTCTTGGGAACCCAGTCCTATGGGGCTCCTGCATTTTATGCACCCCACTTATAAGAAAAGGACAAACTGACTCAGTGCTCTGCGTGGTGGCTACCCAAGCCCATGTGAGCAAAACCCCAGGGAACATTTAACAAAACGCTGAAAAGACCCAGCCAGCAAAGTCCAAGCACAGGTAATAACACTGAACACCAGGAGGGGGCGTAGGAGCTCCCAGCTCAACCACATTGGGAACAATCCCATCACTACTGACAGAAGCTTCAGACACAATCAGTAGCTATCAGTAGCATACAGCAACAAGCTTCAAAAACGGGCTCAGACTGTGGAATGATGGAGGGCTGTATGTATCACTGTGTATAAATATCAAAATACAAAGTCGCTTCATTCTTTTCAGATCCCCAAAGCAGATTTGAAGGAAAAAAAAAAAAAGTTTGTGGGTCACATTACTGCACATTGTATATTAATATTTACAGACAGATTTTTGTAAAGTGATGAGGGTTAAAATCCCACCTTCTTCTTCAATTTTAACCATCACTATTCTAGCTCTAGAATGTATATTGAATATTGTGTTGATTCCCTACACTCACGTCTAGTAAGCATATATTATGGGCTGTGCTAGGTAATATCCATTGGGGGGAATATCTCTTTAAATAACATGGTGACATTCTCTAAATATTAAAAAGAATTGTACATTGTATTTTCAGTATGTTTTGACAACTGATAGCTGAGCACAAGATAGTATAATATTTGTTCTGTATATATGTATTATGATGTGATTCAAAATCAAATTCCCAGAAAAATTTCTTTTTCATTTTAATTTTTTTTTTCAAAATGAAAGAAAAAAATATATATATAAATCCCAAAACATTTTTTTTTTTTTGGTTTAAATAATGTATCCATTTTCCTCTCAGGGTAAATAGGAATTTAGAGATTGTATGTATTTAACATTGTTGAAAAAAACAATGGGTAATGTTCGTGTTATCACGAGGTTATGCTAGTATTTATCCATTTAATAGATTTAATTAAAAAAATTAAATTAAAAATTAAAAAAAAAATATGGTTGTAACCCGTTTCTCTATTAGTGAGGTCAGCAGTACAATGCTCTGTCTGCGAAAGGGTTAATAAACAGTGTAATATAATATATTACTTTTTTAATTTACCCGTTTTTGTAAATAAGGATTACTACGTTTAATTTTATTTTATTTGCCTATTCGAAGCACTTTGAAAAAAAAAGACCAGTAAATAAAAAAATAAAGAAAAAAATCGTTTTAATCTTTTTTTTAATTGTGTTTTTATTTTTCCATTCTCAGAGGTTTATTCACTAAAACAGATTTTTTTTGGGGGGGAGTGAATTGAAATAGTATACTTTCTATAATACAGTTTATATAAGCCGACTTGGAAATAAAATATGTCAATCACCCCCAGCTCTGATTAACAAGAGAATGCAATTCGGCTAATGTATTGTAGCCTTTCAATCTTTACAGTCAGTTCGCATTAAAATTCGATATTTAGTAAATAAACCCCTCCATTTATGAGGGTCTGTTCTTTTTATCACAATCAGTAATTCACCAGAAAAAAAATAAATCCAGGTTTGCTGAGTCTCGAATTATCTTCTATCTAAATAAAATAGCTGGAAACGATTAAATAAAAACCCTAATTATTGAAAGGAACGAATTCTATTTTGAGTGAGCTGAATATACTATGAGTGCACATTTTCCCGTTTGAGTATACATACACACGCACAATAACACATGTATATTTATATGTTTCACATATTTTTTGTGTTTTTTAAAAAAATATATACAATTTAATTTATAAAGATATATAAATAATTGTAAATTTATAGATAATAATTTATATAAATATATAATTTAACTATATCCTGCATGTACTGTTCAATGAATAATACAATCAACATATAGAAAATAAATGTATTTGAACAGTATAAATAAACAGCTATATAGTGATATAAACATATATTAACATCTGGTCCAGTATAATCAGAAATGAATTACAATATTCGTTGTTTAATCTTACTGGATGAGTTTTTTAGAATGTCCAGGATGCAGTTCCATCGAATATCACATAGTGTGTGTGATATGTTACATATTAGTCCACTAATATTACATTCCAAGCCTGTTACTCCTCCTATACAAAACTGAGTATCTGCATGGGAGTTTAATAGTTGGAATATTTCATAAAATAAATCACAACACAACAAGTGACTGACTGCTGATGTGTAAATTGCTGATTGCCACAGAAGACACCTTACCAGGAGACAACACAAACAGATATAAGCAATGATTCATGCCTGTCAGGGCTCTCAGATTGCTTCTAAAAGGCACATACACAATTGTGATGAATCGATAAGTGAACATATGTAGCAATGCACACAGGGGAGCTGGGTATTTTCATTATTGACTATCAAATTACAGATACTCTGCATTCTATGAGTTACACCAGGTATGTGTGCCACTCTCTACACTATACCAACATCCACTGCTTACTGGCAGGAATGTGTCAAACACATCTTAACCCCCTAAGGACCAAACTTCTGGAATAAAAGGGAATCATGACATGTCACACATGCCATGTGCCCTTAAGGGGTTAAAGGGGCTCGCTGTGGGTACAGAGCAAATGTTACCATGCCAACTGAGAGATACATTACATAACAACATGTCAGGGTGACACTGTGTGTGTTTGTTATGGGGTTAAATATTGTTAAAATAAAATAAATAAAGTAATGACAGATCTAGAAAGAGATGGTATACCTAGCTGAGAGAGAGAGATTAAGTACCCCTCTAGAAAGTGAGAAAGAGAGAGAGAGTGTGTGTGTGTCTACACTTGTTATTACACACACAACATTATTACAGGTGTGTGTATGTTAGTGAATATCCGAAATTCATATATTTTCTTTTCTTTTTGTAAATTATAATCTTAACAATACAATGTCTGTGAGAGGGGAAGAGATGTAGCATTAGCATTGTTATTACTAAGTGTATGTGCTGTCCATGAGTGTGTTGTGTGTGTGTGTTATGTATGTGTGCATGTTTGTTTTATAAAGAAAGCCATAATATTTACACAATGTATCAGCCCAGTAATGTTATTAAGCTGGAGCTGGTGTGTATATCTATATATTTATACATTTTCAGTTATTGAAACTCAGCCCAGCAGCCTGTATTCCAAGACAAGCAGTTGGTTGTGGATGATGGGAGTCGGAGCACTGGAGACAGACTGCACTCCCAGCACGCTGTGCCACCCATTGCAGCCCCCTGTGACAGTATTAAATGATATCTCTCCAATCCCATTAGCGCCTTCCTCTTGTTGACTTCCTTGACTGAGCATTTTTGACAACCTTTACTGCGGCTGCTGACACTTGAAGCGTGAGCAAGTTATAATTTGTGACAGGGAAATTACATCCTTCCACAGACATTGATGTCTTGCAATGTAAATGGCAGCGAGAGATTGGAGCAGATCTGGGAAGGGGGTCATTGGGCTGCACTCTGAGTATAGCATTCTCTATCAGCTGCACTACCAACGATTGCCAGCAGATGGCGAAAGAGATACAGTATGAAGGTTCTGCTGCTGTGGAAGAAGATGTTTAGTGATATGCGAGTGTGTTAATCTCATAGAATGATGGAACAACTCATTAAAGAAGTATCAGCCAAAATAATAAAATTTTTTCCATTTTTGGTTATATACAATTTGAAAATTATATAATATTATCCATTGTTTAGGTACAGTTCATTAACTTGTTTAATAACACAAGAAAACACATTCTGGGTTATTTACTAAAGTGAGAATTCCAAGTGGATTTCAGATTTAAGGGCAAAGCTGTCTAGCTGAAAAAATTCTCAAAGTCAGCAACGCTTTTAGTTCGGGTACATAGAGAAGCATTATAGCGTTAGGCCTACAAAACCTGATTCCAAAAAGCTATAGTGTCGCTCTGCGGTTCCTCCACCCGGTGAGTAAAGGGTTAAAACCCCAGTTTCCACTTATCTGTTTTAATTGTCGAGGTCGCTGGTCGGTCTCCTCTTCCAGCACTGTAATCGAGAGACACTGGATATATGATAGAATGTCGTATTCTCTCTATCACTATACTACTTTCCCTCCTGGCCGAATCTTATCTCAGGATCGTGGGCAGGGAGACCAAATGAGCCTACAAAAAAATACAGAGAAAAGGTAATGTTTAAATTGATCCCAAAGGCCAACTCTGGTGACAGTCACTGATTCCTCCCGGTGCGCTCCTGCTATTTTTGATTTACCGACTTTCAGTGACTTCACACTCTGCATGGAGATGCCGAACGTTCTCCGTAGAGATGCATTGAGTCCATGTAAAATGATGATCAGCCATGGGAGAAGAGGCGGACGCAGTGAAATCAGTGAACCGGGGAACTAAACATAACATAGTAATAAGATTTTATTTTACTTAATTAAGGGAGGCCCTCAACTAAGGTATGTACCACTTCAAGCAAAGAGGAAAATAGTAAGAGGAAAAAAAGGGGGAACAAGTTAAAAAAAAAAGAGGCTGAAAGTGTAAAATAAAAAAAAAAGTAGAAGCAACAACAAATGACTATGTTCAGGTATGTCCTGGAGAGTCGTGTATTAAGGAGAAGGGAGGGGAGGGCTTTCCCCAGGTGACAGGTAGAGACATTCTCATTCATTGTAGTATGCGGAACAGGACCACCGCAGAGACTCTGCGTGATTAAAGTCACATCCTGCTAACTCTCTCCTCAGCTAGCACACTGCTGGTTCAGAGCCTGATATATACTGACAGACACTGCTGGGGAACACAGGAGGTGGACAATTCCAATAGATAATTCTGCACTGGTTCCCATATACCGTAGGTACTCCATTTTGTCATAGAGTTCTTAATCAAAATGTCTACTAAACCTCCTCAGACAAAGAGGGCCCACATCACAATCCTCTTCCATAGCGTGGATTTAAGACTGAACTATAGACACTTTAAGTACCATCGTCACTTCCTCTTATTTAGGTAGTCCCTGCTGTTCTGTGTTAAGTTGTTCTCAGCCAGTTTGACACTGAATATATGTGTCTGGCACTCCAGGTGTTGTGGACTACATCTCTCCTAATGCCCTTACAGCCATAATATTGGCAAAACATCATGTGCGATTTAGTCCACAACATCTGGAGTGCTGAAGGTTGCCTACGCCTGTCTATGCTGCAGTAATGTGGTTCTTACAAACCATATGTTCAAATAAAAATATCCTAGTCCTAGCAGGACTCTATCTCTTCTTGTGCAAGAGATTGTTTACATTGTGGCATATTTTCTGGGAACATTGCTATTGTTCCAAAGGAATTCAGATGTTCCCTTCCTCTATTTCTAGAAAAATGTTTCATCAGTTAAAAACTCAGGCAGTAGCATACCTACCACGGTCGCAAGGGTCAAGAGGCTGGGGAGTCAGGGAATGGGACACATAGAGTGGCTGGGGGTTAAGGAAAGGAACACATGGAAATGAGACACCTGAAAGGGCTCTTAGGGGGAGGAAATGAGACACCTGTAGGGGCTTTTGCAGGGAGGAAATGAGACACATGGAGGGGCTTTGAGGGTGGGGGGGTGGAATGAGATACATGGGAAAGCCTAGGTGGGAAAGAGACACAGAGTGGCTGGGGGAAGGGAATGAGACACATGGGGAGCTGCGGGGGCCCAGGACAATTTTCACACCGGGGCCTGGTGGTTTCTAGTTGTGATGAAACTATCCTGACTTTTTTTTGTTTGGTAGTTGAAACTACAGAATACTGACCGCCCACCTGGCTCATTAACTTCAAAGAGAACAGTGACTTAAGTGCTCTCCCTGTGTGGCCGCCGTTCGTATAGTTGAACGTCACGTGCAGGAGAAAATGGCGGCTATCTTGTTCGCATGAAAGGAGGCAGCGGGACTTGGTCGTCGAGTGTCTTGAACTAAAATCGGACACTAGACTTCCCGAATACTGGTCAAACTTTGCGAACGCCTGCTTCCTTTCCCTGATCAGCCAGGAGAGCGCCATTCGGTAGTTTTGTTCCCATGAGCCAGGGGGTACTGTTTGTGGATTTGTTCGGTTTAAAGACTTTCTGAAATAGAACGACCGCATAACCTAAACTCATGGAACTATTTCTGGGCAGGAGCCAGGTGTGCGGTCGGTCAAATTAAAACCTCCATAAAATTCCTAAACCCCTGAACTGATCTGGGTGATTTTTGGATATGTTGGTCAGCCAGATCAGGGCTATCAGGGGATTTAGTGTGTTTTGGGGTCCTTTTTAAGTTTTATGGAAAATTTGTTTTTTTCTGCCTGGAGATAATTGAGTTATTACAGTATCGGACTCAATTATCTCCCAGGCAGAGAGGAGGGATTGTATGATATGTAGGGGAGTGTCATACTTTTTAACCTGGCTGTTATTGGTGTGTAACTTTGTGTTGGAGTCCCCCACAAGGTCCATGTGGGAGTGCCCATTGTATGGGGACTTGCATAAAAGCCAAGTGTGGCACCATTAAAATTCATTCCTGTTGTACCCTTCATCTAGTCTAGGCTGATGTTTGAGTAACGGTCAACTTGCTGGGGAGAAACTGCTTGGATGCTGCTTTCGTCTGGGAACCGTTTGAATCTACACCCGAACTGCAAGCTATAATCACTCAGGCTTCAGCAGTTCGGGACAAAATAGGCAAACGGGTATCTACAATACCAGCGTTCGTAACACCTCCGAACTCAGGAGTTGATTTAAGACACCCTTTACGTGCAGGTGTTTGTAATCCCATTTCTGTTGCATCACCGCAAATACCTAAAGAACCCAGATTTCTTGAAGACGAGTGGGGTAACACCAGGTATGGGATAAATCGTTGGGTAATTCGTTTATTTAATGTAAATTCTTACATCTCCAACTGAATATTTTCATTATATATATACACACACAATCTTGTCTCTATATAAATTATTTAAATTAAGTGAAAACACCTCAACCAAAGGAAAATACTAACTTTCCATTTAGTTGACATATACAAATTGGCTTTACCATTTACATAAATATTTTACAGTCTACTGGTACAAGTAAGAGCCACTAATGGCTGATTGGATAAATGAAATCAATGGTCTATGGAACTCAAGCATTACCTTGTAATTATGCAAATTATGGATTTCAGGGGGAAAAAAATGGTGTGAAGCAATTGGGGAAATCTAGCAGTTTAATGTCCCTAATCTAATTAGCACATTTTTTTCTACATCTAATGAGTTTACTTTAATGAATTAAACAGAATACAGAACATTTTATCATCTTACCCTTTGCCTATGTTTAAGTTTGAAGAATAATTATTTGCAAAACTTTCTAGCTTTTACAGAAAATGGCAGCTTTTGGAGAGAGATATTTTTTTAAATTAAGGAGGATATGCTGGTTTCCAACTGATAGGAGTAGCAATGCAGGTTTTGGGTTAGAGAATCAGCACAGACAGCACTTCTCACTCTTTCTTTTTTTTTTTTTTTTTGCAATGAAACAGATAGAGTGCTATAAAAGATCAGCGCCGGGAACCCGGGTATTAAAATATTGCATGGGATAAAATCATGGTTTAGATGCTAATGGAATGCAAATATCTGTGTTAGCCAAGGTTTAAAACCTTTTTAGTGCTTGAAATTTTACCATACTGTTTTAGCGTACCATATGCAATGACTCTCTGCCACATTAACAGAACTTTAAAGAACAGCGCTCAATATATAAATAAAGACTTAAACTTCACGCATAATCAGCCAATTGTGGCCCAGCGCGCAAATGCGACTATGGAATGATTTTAGTGTTACATGTAGCAGTCTGAGTATCTCCCAAACTGCTGACTTCATGGGATTTTCAAACAACACAATTTACAGAAAATTGTGTGAAATTCAAAAATCATTCAGTGAGCAGGATTTGTGCTGTTGAAAATTCTTTGTTAATGAGTGTGATCAAATGAGAATGGCCAGACTGCTTCAAGTCAACAAGAAGGAAAGCAAAACGTATATAACTATATCAGCGCTGCCTTGGGCGGTACTACCCAGAGGGGTAGCAAAAAATGCAGTGTTCATTTTTCACATATTATGGGGAGGGTGGTGGCCCAAAGAGCTGGCCATCCTAGTCCCTCCCAAGGCAGAAGGCGCTGAGGGAGCTGCAATTTTCTTGCTTTGCCCCCTTGTGATGCCGGGAGCTGGAATATGACATCACGCCTGCCCCAGAATTACTAAACAGCGTGCGAGGGAACAGAGCAAAAAGATTACAGTGTGTTTCCATCTGTGAGTGGTTGTGTCAGTGTGTCAATTAGTGGAAAGTGTGTGTTGGTTAAACAGTGTGTGAGCCAATGACTATATATCCGTCAGTGAGTGTATGTTAGTGTATGTGTATCAGTGAGGGCACGTTGTCAGTCAAGTGAAAGCGTGTGTTTAAAAGGATGAGGTACGAAGAGGTAGAGCTCTAAGAGGAAAAGGTGGAAACTAAAGAGGAAGAGGTGGGTCCTAAACCGGAAAAGATGTGGCCTTGACAGGAAGGGATGGGGCAAATTTAGATTGGGGATGCCTACGCTTTATCATGCCTAGGGCAACATAGAAACAAAATATGCAGATGGCCATTTTTGAACATACAGCATGTCAAGCCTTGAAGTAGATGGGCTACAGTAGTAAACAATTGCAGTGGGTTCCACTCTGATCAGCTAAGAATAGACAGCTGCAGCTACAGTGGACCACGGAGCACTATATCTGCACAGAAAAAGATTGGAGAATGTTAACTGGTTTGAAATATCTCAATTTATGCCATTACACAGAAATGGTAAAATGGATCAGAATTAGAAGCAAACTACATGAATCTGGGCATTCATTCTACCATGCATCATCAGTTCAGCTTGGTGGTCTAATGGCATGGGGAGTATTCTTGGCACACATTAGGTCAATTCTTATCAATTGAGCATGAAACAGCCTCAGTATCTTGATGACCATTTGCATTCCTTAATGGTCACAGTCTTCTGAACTTCTAATGGCTTCTCCCATCAGGATAATGTCACATGGCACCTCAAGCTACATGGTTAGTTACATAGGCTGAGGGGATACTTGTGTCCATCAAGTTCAGTCTTTCTGGTTTTGAGGTTGATTCAAAAATAGGCAAAGTACATTGATGCAGTTTGTGGACTCAGCATAAGATGGCATATGAAAATGACTAACGCTCCATATTGTTTATATGTTAGGAGATGGAAGGGTTTACATTGTGTTTGTGCTCTATATTTAAATTTTGTATAATTTTGTAGTTTCCTTCATCAGCATCACCACTATTAAAGGGTCAGTCTACACACCATAACCACTACAGTGACCAGAAGGCACTGGCAATAGAGAATCAGGGACAGGGCCTCAGGTGCCTGGGGACAAACCTAATCACCAACATTTATTTATTTATAAAATAATTTACCAGGAAGGATACATACTCTCGTTTTCAAGTATGTCCTGTGCCCAGTAACACTGCATTGTTAAATAAAGTACAATATAATATTAAAAATACAAAATTATATTCATACACAACATACAGTATCTCACAAAAGTGAGTGCACCCCTCACATTTTTGAAAATATTTTTATATTTTTTCATCTGACAACACTGAAAAAAATACACTCACCTACAATGTAAAGTAGTAAGTGTACAGCCTGTAAAATAATGTAAATTTGCTGTCCCTTCAAAATAACAACACACAGCCATTAATGTCTAAACCATTGTCAACAAAAGTGAGTACACCCCTAAGTGGAAATGTCCAAATTGGGCCAAAAGTGTCAATATTTTGTGTGGCCACCATTATTTTCCAGCACTGCCTAGCCCTCATGGGCATGGAGCTCACCAGAGCTTCACAGGTTGCCACTGGAGTTCTCTCCCACTCCTCCATGACGACATCACGGAGCTGGTGGATGTTAGAGACCTTGCACTTCCCCACCTTCCGTTTAAGGATGCCCCTTCAGATGCTCAATAGGGTTTAGGTTTTGAGACATGCTTGGCCAGTCCATCACCTTTACCTTCCGCTTCTTTAGCAAGGCAGTGGTTGTCTTGGAGGAGTGTTTGGGGTCGTTATCATGTTGGAATACTGAACTGCGGCCCAGTCTCCGAAGGGAGGTGATCTTGCTCTGCTTCAGTATGTCACAGTACATGTTGGCATTAATGGTTCCCTGCACTCGCGTTGGCTCAGACCATGACACTCCCACCACCATGCTTGACTGTAGGCAATACACACTTGTCTTTGTACTACTCACTTGGTTGCCACCACACACGCTTGACACCATCTGATAAATAAGTTCATCTTGGTCTCATCGGACCACAGGACATGGTTCCAGTAATCCATGTCCTTAGTCTGCTTGTCTTCAGCAAACTGTTTGCGGGCTTTCTTCTGCATCATCTTTAGAAGAGGCTTCCTTGTGGGAAGACAGCCATGCAGACCAATTTGATGCAGTGTGCGGCATATGGTCTGAGCACTGACAGGCTGACCCCCCACCCCTTCAACCTCTGCAGCAATGCTGGCAGCGCTCATAAGTCTATTTCCCAAAGACAACCTCTGGATATGACGCTGAGCATGTGCACTCAACTCCTTTGGTCGACTATGGCGAGGCCTGTTCTGAGTGCAACCTGTCCTGTGAAACCGCTGTATGGTCTTGCCCACTGTGCTGCAGCTCAGTTTCAGGGTCTTGGCAATCTTCTTATAGCCTAGGCCAGGTATAGGCAACATTCGGCACACCAAATGTTTTGGACTACACCTCCCATGATTCTTTGCTATTATTTTAGGTGTAAGAGCATTATAGGGGATGTAGTCCACAACAGCTGGAGTGCCAAAGGTTGCCTATTTCTGGCCTAGACCAGAAATAGGCTAATTGGACCCAATTTGGACATTTCCACTTATGGGTGTACTCACTTTTGTTGCCAACGGTTTAGACATTAATGGCTGTGTGTTGAGTTATATTGAGGGGACAGCAAATTTACACTGTTATACAGGCTGTACACTTACTACTTTACATTGTAGCTGAGTGTCATTTCTTCAGTGTTGTCACATGAAAAGATATAATAAAATATTTACAAAAATGTGATGGGTGTGCTCACGTTTGTGAGATACTGTGTATAAATTTAACACAGAGCAGGTAAAAGATTATCAACCATGATTACAGGTGCATTCTGTTTTGAGATATGTAGAGAGGGATCTCCTAAAGGATTTCCAGCTGAGTGTGAATTTGAAGTGTCCGAGTGGTTATTCCATAATTGCGGTGATCTGTAGGAAAATGATGATCGAGCCGCTTTCTCTTTGTATTGTGATAGACTAAATAAAGTGCTGGTACTGGAATTTATTTTAAATACCATGTTTTGTTTTTCACATGCTATTACATAATTTCATTGTGATATTTAACAATAGCTTATTTCGGTGAAAAATAAAAAATATATACAATATTTTTCAGTGTTAAAATAGGTTAATAAAAAAATAAAAAAAAAATAAAGAAATCCTGAGTAAATATAAATAAATGTCATAGTTCCATTATTTGTTCCAAAACATGACAATTTATACATTTTAAAAACAAACATAAACGCACAACATTTTTAGGAGTAGAAAAATCTACAAAGTATAACAAATTATGCAAATAAGTTAAGACATTATCATTAGGAAAAATATACTTATATTACAACCATTTTTCTTTAAAAGGTCCTTAAAATAAGTGTTCCATGTAGAAGCTGGCTGGATGGTTTATCTTCCTCTTGCGTTTTAATTTAATGCATAATTAAACTGGTTTGCAAACTTCTCATGTCGCCTCTGATCCATTTGGTTCATTGCGCTTATCACTCGTTTCACTGAACCTCTGCGAGAAAAAATAAAAAAATAAATAAAATATCAAGCGTTAGTCTAAAATAAACAGACACAGTTAAGCTTATCCCGTCCTCAAATAAAGTCATGCCAGGAGTGTTTATAGATATGTTTAAAAAGGAGGAATCATTAATTACGGATCGGTCCTCCTAACACTGCACTGATGAGGCAGAACAAATTAGACATGCTAACTAAATTAAGTACTGCAATACAAATAGTTTTAATTCAACAAGGTTTTAATAACAGGAGTAAACAAATTGAAGGCTTGGTTTAATGTGTACACTCCACCTTACAAGATAAATGGCATTCGTCCAAGGTTCTTTAGAGGCAGCATGCATATTAGACAAAGCTAGAATATCTGGTTAATCCAGAATGTTTCGGTGTATTTCATAATGGATATTTGGGCCACTGTGCCTTTGTACTTTACTGGCTCTACGGGCATTCAGTGTCTGGGCACACAGGAGAAATGTGCTATTGTGGCACATGGATGTCACACTATGGAACTAGTAAAAATAATACAATTACTAAAGGGCTTGTTTAAAAAAAATATATATATATTATAATGAAATATGACATTAATATTTGGTGCAGTTTATTAGTACTTGGCTATATCGAACCTCTGCAATTGAGACAGGTGTCAGACGTAACAAAAACAGAGCAACGGTGAAAAAAAAAAAAAAAGAAGAATTGCCCCAATCCAAATTCCTTTGATTTATCTGCACCCCAGCTACCCAATGTCCTGGTAGTCTAGTGCAGGGATAGGCAACATTTCAGACTCCAGATATTGTAGACTACATGTCCCATGATGCTTTGCCATCATTATAATTGCAGAATAGGAAATTAAGCCCTCAATATCTGGGGTGCTGAAGGTTCCTGGCCCTTGGTCTAGTGTAAAGGAGCAGACATCCCTTTTGTTTTTTGTTAGCGGATGCTTTTTCCCCCCAATATTTGTGGTAAAGAGAGGAGGGAAAGGTGCTCCATTCCACAGAATCCTCCTTTGCATTCTGTGCTCAGGCAATAAAGGGGGCATGTAAATCCATTATCTAAGCCCCACATTTGAGGTTATAAACTCAATGATACGCCTGTTTTGTTAAGGATACTAGTAAAATCCTAATTAGGGTCAATCAGTTTTACACATTTAGAAGTGAGTGACAAAGAGTGTATGTAGATACTAGTGAACTATATCTGAGGAGTATTGACCAATATAAATTAGGAGGGAGAGGTCACAATGCGCAAGCAGTAATTTAGCGATCAGATCCATATAACTCTACCAGAACAGAGTTTTAAAAGTAAATATATACACATTGCCAGTGAAAAGAACATAAATATATAGAAAGTATCTGTCAATACCACAGTACCCAGGATTCCCATTACTAATGTCTGACAAATCCCACATAGGACTAAATGAATGTTCGCAGCTTTTAGAGTTACTTTCTCCTGTACTATCAAATAAAAAGTAAGAAATGTGCGTGCCACAAAATCCACCCAGTGAACACTCAAGCTTTATATTAAACTGTACCTGACAAATAAAAACCATTAATATTATTCACAATGGTGTAGACATTGTGTTAACATATTTCAATATGGTGCAGAGGGTGAAAGTATACTATTATACACTTTTTTTTTAAAGAGTAAACATTTCAACTACAATTTTCACTAAGAGGATTGCTAGCAATAATCACACCTTTTTGGATATTTTATTTTAAAGCAATAGCGTTTTCCCAGCCAGTCAATCAATTATTGGCACGTACCATTATGCCGACAATAAACTGACAAGAGAGAAACAGAAGAACTCTTTTATACACACGCTCTCTCACAGCCCCCCTCGCTCAGCCTTGCCCCCCTCAATCATGTGAGAAAGGGGAAGGAGGTGGAGCCGGGGGTGTAACACCCACAAGGTAAACATGATGGCAGCATTCCAGTGCTGGGCAGGAGGAAGGTTTTCATTTAATAATTAATTCAGAGACATCACAGAACATTATGATCAATTAAGGTGATGTCTAATGAGTTATCAAAGTGAAGCTGTCATTCGTTGCATAATGGTCTCCAATACTTGGAAACTTCTGTCCCCTAACATGTTTATAATTAATACAGAAACCTGGAAACTGGGGGGGTGAGAGGTATATACCAAACATGCACAACTTAAAGGGACTGTATAGGCACCCAGGACACTTCTCCTCAATGTCTGGATGCTATATCCCCCTCCCCCTTGTTTTAAATGCTTCGAGTGGCTGTCACTCGGACAGCCACTTCTGTCAAATTCTGCTATTCCAATCAAATGGTCGGATTGGAGAGAGCATCTGATTGGCGCTGTGCAGCACTTTGCCCTGCATGCGCACTAGCTTTCCTACGGGAAAGCATTTGATTGGCTGAGATCGTTGATCTCAATGAATTCAACCAAGGAGACAGGATGGCAGTGTGGAGATCAGCGCTGTAAGGGAGACAAGGTAAAAGACAAGTAAAATTTAATTTTCTATCTCCCTACAGGAGGGAGCCAAGGGCCTAAATGGCACACAGTGCACTATAGCACTGAGAATACACATTTGTATTCCTAATGTTACAGTTTATCATTAATGACATATTGTTTGAAATCTATCATTTAAAATACCAAACTTGAACAAGGAAGCATTTTGCATTTTCAATACAAAGATGATCAAAATTAGAAAAAGGTTTAAGTTGCAGATGGCAAAAGTAAAGGGCAAGATGAAAAAATACTCTCTGCTGAAAAGTGTAGTGGATACAGAGACTAGCCTACCAGTGGAAGTAGTAGAAACTAGCACTGCAACATAATTACTACTTGGAATGTGAATTAGGCTGCCTTAAAGCTACAACTTAGTCTGCAGTTGCATTCTGGGCAGGCTAGATGTGCAAAAATGTGCATATACTAAACACGTGTGACCTTGTATCTTTCACACGTTAAATCTTCTTTGACTTTTTTTTTTTTTTTTTACACATATTTTTTTCCAGTGCGTATAAGTCTGCTACAACTGGATGCATGATTTAATTCCAATTCCCTAGAGCTAATTACACCTTGTTTGTTCTAACAGAAAGGGCACCGTTAATTGATGTCTTGTGTACTCCTATAGTGGTCCATCCCTATGTTAATTAAGACCTGTTGAGAACCACCTTATAAATTATACTCTGACAACATGGCATGTCAAATCTTCTGCTTTATGATCCATGTTGTAATTGGGGAGAACATCATCAGTGAATATCTCAAAGGAACATGCTGTAAAATAGCTATATTCGTGATTGAAAAATCCAAACCCAAAAACTGGAAGGCAAGATATTATGATTAATACTTGGAAATTGCAAGCTTAAAATATAGAACATGTATTTTGATGGTAGACAAGCCAGTTGGCCCATCTAGTCTGTACAATTCTTGTCTAATGGACATGCATTTTCTTTGATTTTGTTTAATGTTCGTCTCTACTAAGCTTTCTTAAAGGACCACTATAGTGCCAGGAAAACATACTCGTTTTCCTGGCACTATAGTGCCCTGAGGGTGCCCCCACCCTCAGGGTCCTCCTCCCGCCGGGCTCTGGGGAGAGGAAGGGGTTAAACTTACCTTTTCTCCAGCGCCCGGCGGGGAGCTCTCCTCCTACTCTCCGCCTCCGATCCTCCTCTTTGGCTGAATGCTTTCCTATGGACACTTGCGTCTTCTCACTGTGATTTTCACAGTGAGAAGCACGCAAGCGCCTCTAGCGGCTGTCAATGAGACAGCCACTAGAGGATTTGGAGGCTGGATTAACCCATTTATAAACATAGCAGTTTCTCTGAAACTGCTATGTTTATTAAAAAAAAAAAAAAAGGGTTAATCCTAGAGGGACCTGGCACCCAGACCACTTCATTAAGCTGAAGTGGTCTGGGTGCCTAGAGTGGTCCTTTAACCTCCATTATTGTATTAGACTCTACCACCTCTGCTGGCAGGATCATCCATACGCCAACAGCGTTCTCCTTTTTTGCCTCTAGATTTCCAACAAAAAGCTAAATCTATAGCTTAGCCAACACTTAGACTCATGCAACGTAGAAATTAAAGCTTATGACATTAAGTCACATTAGCTACGACAGGACAAATTTAAAGATGTCCTTTCCTGGAAAAAAACAAAGGTTAAAACAAAAAATTAAAATCACGCCACTGGAAAAACCTGTAGGTCCAAAACGCGTTTGGTGTTTGCTGTGACCTTTCCCCCTGTTTGTTACTTTTTGCTTAGTGATGATTAAACCTCCTGTGGATTTTGAGCACTTGCAGTGGCATTTTTTTCTATTATTTTTGGATTTGGTGTTCCTATGCCTGGCAACTGGTCTTCCACTCAGGTAAGTGGGGACTCTGTATTTCCATGTCCTTTAGGTTTATGCTCCGAGACTCAGGCTACAGACATCTTAGAGTTTGGCAGCCGCAGTCCCAGGTTTTTTTTTATATAAACAAAAGTTATCAGACGACATAAATAGTTTCCTTTAATAACACATTAAAGAATAGGTGCAGTTTCTTTTTTTT